GCCACTTGTTTCCCGCCGCTTGCTTCCCACCGCTTGTTTTCCCGCCGCTTGTTTCCCACCGCTTGCCGCTTGTTTCCCACCGCTTGTTTCCCACCGCTTGCCGCTTGTTTCCCACCGCTTGCCGCTTGTTTCCCACCGCTTGTTTCCCACCGCTTGTTTCCCACCGCTTGCCGCTTGTTTCCCACCGCTTGCCGCTTGTTTCCCACCGCTTGTTTCCCACCGCTGGCCGCTTGTTTCCACTCGCTTGCCGCTTGTTCCCACCGCTATGCCGCTTGTTTGTCCCCCGCTTTCCGCTTGTTTCCCACCGCTTGCCGCTTGTTCCCACCGCTTGTTTTCCCACCACTTGTTTTCCCACCGCGTGCCGCTTGCTTTTCTCCACCTCTTGCCGCTGTTTCCACACCGCTTGTTTTATCCCACCACTTGTTTTCCCCACCGCTTGCCGCTTGTTTCCCACCGCTTGCCGCTTGTTTCCCACCGCTTGTTTCCCGCCGCTTGTTTCCCACCGCTTGCCGCTTGTTTCCCACCGCTTGCCGCTTGTTTCCCACCGCTTGTTTCCCGCCGCTTGTTTCCCACCGCTTGCCGCTTGTTTCCCACCGCTTGCCGCTTGTTTCCCACCGCTTGTTTCCCACCGCTTGTTTCCCACCGCTTGCCGCTTGTTTCCCACCGCTTGCCGCTTGTTTCCCACCGCTTGCCGCTTGTTTCCCACCGCTTGCCGCTTGTTTCCCACCGCTTGTTTCCCACCGCTTGTTTCCCGCCGCTTGCCGCTTGTTTCCCACCGCTTGCCGCTTGTTTCCCACCGCTTGTTTCCCACCGCTTGCCGCTTGTTTCCCACCGCTTGTTTCCCGCCGCTTGTTTCCCACCGCTTGCCGCTTGTTTTCCACCGCCTTGTTGCCCGCCGCAGTTCCACCGCTTCCGCTTGTTCCCACCGCTTGCCGCTTGTTTCCCCCGCTGCCGCTTGTTTCTCCAACCGCTTGTTTCCCGCCGGCTTGTTTTCCACCGCTTTCCCGCCTTGGTTTCCCACCGCCTTGCCGCCTGTTTTCCCACCGCTTGCCGCTTGTTTCCCACCGCTTGTTTCCCGCCGCTTGTTTCCCACCGCTTGCCGCTTGTTTCCCACCGCTTGTTTCCCACCACTTGTTTCCCACCGCTTGCCGCTTGTTTCCCACCGCTTGCCGCTTGTTTCCCACCGCTTGTTTCCCACCACTTGTTTCCCACCGCTTGCCGCTTGTTTCCCACCGGGGGGGGGCTTGTTTTCCACCGCTTGTTTTTCCCACTCGCTTGTTTCCCACCGCTTTGCCGCTTGTTTCCCCCGCTTGCCGCTGTTTCCCACCGACTTGTTTCCCACCGCTTGCCGCTTGTTTCCCACCGCTTGCCGCTTGTTTCCCACCGCTTGCCGCTTGTTTCCCACCGCTTGTTTCTCGCCGCTTGTTTCCCACCGCTTGCCGCTTGTTTCCCACCGCTTGCCGCTTGTTTCCCACCGCTTGTTTCCCGCCGCTTGTTTCCCACCGCTTGCCGCTTGTTTCCCACCGCTTGCCGCTTGTTTCCCACCGCTTGCCGCTTGTTTCCCACCGCTTGTTTCCCGCCGCTTGTTTCCCACCGCTTGCCGCTTGTTTCCCACCGCTTGCCGCTTGTTTCCCACCGCTTGTTTCCCACCACTTGTTTCCCACCGCTTGCCGCTTGTTTCCCACCGCTTGCCGCTTGTTTCCCACCGCTTGTTTCCCACCACTTGTTTCCCACCGCTTGCCGCTTGTTTCCCACCGCTTGCCGCTTGTTTCCCACCGCTTGCCGCTTGTTTCCCACCGCTTGTTTCCCGCCGCTTGTTTCCCACCGCTTGCCGCTTGTTTCCCACCGCTTGCCGCTTGTTTCCCACCACTTGTTTCCCACCGCTTGTTTCCCACCGCTTGCCGCTTGTTTCCCACTTGTTTCCCACCGCTTGCCGCTTGTTTCCCACCGCTTGCCGCTTGTTTCCCACCGCTTGTTTCCCGCCGCTTCTTTCCCACCGCTTGCCGCTTGTTTCCCACCGCTAGCCGCTTGTTTCCCACCGCTTGTTTCCCACCGCTTGTTTCCCACCGCTTGCCGCTTGTTTCCCACCGCTTGCCGCTTGTTTCCCACCGCTTGTTTCCCACCGCTTGCTTCCCACCGCTTGCCGCTTGTTTCCCACCGCTTGCCGCTTGTTTCCCACCGCTTGTTTCCCGCCGCTTGTTTCCCACCGCTTGCCGCTTGTTTCCCACCGCTTGCCGCTTGTTTCCCACCGCTTGTTTCCCGCCGCTTGTTTCCCACCGCTTGCCGCTTGTTTCCCACCGCTTGCCGCTTGTTTCCCACCGCTTGTTTCCCACCGCTTGTTTCCCACCGCTTGCCGCTTGTTTCCCACCGCTTGCCGCTTGTTTCCCACCGCTTGTTTCCCGCCGCTCGTTTTTCTCCGCTTGCGTGTGGAGCCCCCTGCGCTGCGGGAAAAAGATTCTTGAAAGCGCTCATGCTCGGTTGCCTCGCACACGGCGCTTCTTGAAGTTGGCCGCTCTTGAGGCTCCCTGGGTATTGAGGAGACCTTGCATTCTGGATCAGTGGCGCTGCCCGAAGCCTCTTCCTGGTCACTGCCTGAAGCTCCCTGTCCTTGCCCTTAGCTTGTTGGGGAGGCCGCATTCCGGTGTACAGATGCACGCTGGAGGTTCCCTGGATGGCTGGCAATCTGTTGCACGTGGACTTGACCCGTTCGTCTTTAACTTAAACCCCACGTGTCGGGTGAGGAGAACTGCGCTGGCACGGCTAATGATTGGAGCTTCCCAAGGGAGAATGCCCCTTACACAGACGGGGCAAGTCTCCATTCACGACCTCGATGTGGGGACCTTTCATGCAGGGGGCATAGTTTGGAATTTCCTCATCCTATGTCGGGGATTATTCGTCCTCCCGGGATTGCACGTTGCGGAACTGTCATCGCTGGCCTTGGGCCGTGCTCCTGCGAGTGACACTTGCGACCAGCCCCTTGTGGAAAATTAGAAACCCCCGCTGCTGCAAGACTCATTGGTCATGCTTGCAGCCATAGGAGACGTCGCCCTGCCCTCACAGGAAACGGTCCGGTGACCTTTTTCAAACCCGAAAGGGCTTCCCAAACGCCCCCGCCTTCTTCGGAGGTGGTGGATGCGGAGGTCGACCGCGAGCGGGGCCGCATCAACATCGTCATGGAGGCTGAACATGATGCTGAGCGGGAGGGGGAGGAGAGTTGCAGCTGTCTTGGGGGCGGGAAGCCCGAAGACTCCCTAAACTGCAATCCCCTGACCCATTGCAGGGGGTTCAAAGTTCCCGACCGAATGAAATCAGCGCCTAACTCCCTAGGCAATGCGAGAAGCCCGACTCCTCGTGACAGGCCGGTGACATGGACCTGGGACGCTTCCTTCAGTCTCAGCCCAGGCAGGGGGCTGCGGGGAGACGGGGTTGCTGCTCGGAGGTTCAACTATAGCAGGAGGGAGACTCCATCCCTTCGTGATCACTAGATTCCTACGTACGACAGTAGTTAAACTACTCTGAATCTCCAAGTAGGCTCCCAGCCACACAGCCTCACATGTTTGAGCCGAGAATCTTAGCCCTGAAGCTCTGAAGTCCAACAGGCCCTTAAGAAGCAAAGGGCGCTCTCCGAGTGACGGATTTCGGAGGCTAACCCTCTCGCAGATTCAGCACCTCTGGAAGCAGATGCTCGAAGCAGTGCAGGCCGGCTGCAGTGGGAGGGGGGGGGGGGGCAGTGGAAAGCTACTGGGGGCTCAAGTTGGCTCAGGCTCTAAACTTGAACACAATACGCACTCTTTGCCCACAGCGAACTCTCGCATAGGAGAGGTTGGTTGGCGCCGGAGCAGCGAAGCCGCCATGCCAGAAGCAAACAAATCAAATAGTCCAAGCTCCTGAGATACTTGCAGCTTGTTCATGCACGGCGGAAGCCCTCAACCGTTCCAAGCTTGTGACTTCGGGAAGTGGAGAGGTGATCCATCAGGAGAGGATCGTTCATTCAGCACCGGCCTCAGACATTGAGGGCTTTATGAGGGGCTTTGGAGGACTGCGTGGAACGCACGGCTTAGTAACTTAGGATCAAAAGGCCACGAACAGCCGCACTCCTTCTGCAGCCATTTAACAAAGTTTTTTGGATCGTGCCCAGCAGAGACGATGGCCCGACTTGCGGCTGTGTGTCTTGGATTCTTTTGGTGCCAGGTTTTTCCGGGGGCTTCGGATTCTAAGGCCACAGCTTCGAATCTTGCGAAAGTTTTGGCAAGCTTGACTAGCATGGGCACGGTATTGATATGTTTCCATCCGTCTCGAGGCTTACAAGCATCGGTGTTGTCGTTGTGCTCTGAAAGTTTGATAGGGTTTGACTTGGGTTCTGCTCGTGTCAGCTAAAATCCTGAATAGAACAACCCCACTCAAAGTTCGTTTTGCACAGTTACATGAATGCATGAAAACGGGTAGGGAGAGCCAGGGACGCTTCGGCACGTCCTTAGGCTTCGGCACGTCCTTTGCACATGTGGCTGCTTACCTTAGCCTTCTCCCATCTCAACCCTGAGCCTGAAGCCCCAGAATAGACGGGTTCTTTAGCCGACGTTTTGAGGGTTCAGAAATGAGGAGGTCTCAGGAGTCTCAGGAGCCCTTGCAGATCGTTTATCCAAAAAAAGCAAGGTCTTGAGTGCCAAGTTTTGGGAATGCTTCATCCCAAGACAGTTTGAAACTTGAACGAAACGTGAGAAAGCACGGAGCCCCTTGGACCCCGAGCTTTGAAAGCTCAGGTGCCTTCTGGCTGCTGCGTGCTGCCTGCTCCGCTTCGTGGCCTTCGTGCCCGCGCCCGCCCCCCGAAGCGACTGGGCGTTTTTTTGGGGGCTCGAGGCGTGGAGCCTGGTTTTTCGGATTCTCGTCCTTCGGATGTTCAGGAAAAATCTTTTCTTCACAGGATGTGATACTTGGATTCTGGCGGAGCGAAGGGTCAAGGGGATGCACCCAAACGCACCGGCTCCGGTGCCGGCGTAAAGATGGGTAAAGGTGGCCAGTTACCTCTCCTGCTACGTACAAGACTACTTGGGCACCGGAGGCGATGTGATGACCACGTCCGCGGGCGCTGTGGTGCTCGCGAGCGTCCCCATGGGGGCGGATGCCTTCGTCTACAAGGGTGCCGAGACTGCCTTGCTGAGGAGGTCTACGGTTGTTTTGTCTCTGTCACGGCGTCTATGGGCTGATAAACTTGTAGTTGTAGTGACATTAGTGGCTTATTGTTCCCCACGGTTGTTGTGTGGGGTTCCTTTTGGCGCGCGTCGTGCTGTCCGGCCCGCCGACCCTCCCCCTGCCCACCCCCTCCCCCTGGCCTCTGGAAAAGCCTTGTTTTGTGGCTGTTTAAGCTCTGGGTTTAGACAGGCGTCGGAGGCAATTCGGTCCCAGGCCCAGCCATGTTAACGGCATGTTCAGGTGGGAAAGAGCCTCGACATGAGAGGGCACGTGCCACAACTTCTTGTGGGCGTAAATCCTCACAGTCCTTCCTATTCGGGGTTTGGGGGATGTCAAGTCGAAGGCTGAGGGGCTGAGGGGCTGAGGGGCTGAGGGGCTGGGGGTAGCATAGCATCACGGAGCTTATGAAGACAAAAGTGAATGTGGTGCCCAGAAGCCACCCTTCGAAGACCCTGATGTATTCTACTATGGCGGAACGCCTCAAACCCAAGGCAAGGAGTACTTCGATGTCTTCTACGGCATTGACCCCTTGGCCTGGGCGTTCTGCGGCTTCAGCATCGTGTACTTCGGCGCAGTCTTGAAGAACGCAGCCCAGAAGTACAACATCTCCCCGGACAAGACGCCACCAAAGGTCGGTGGCTTTGTCGGCAAGGAGGTCGAGAACGGGGAGCCCAGCTACATGGACCCATCCATCAAGCAGGGCCCGTACTGAGCAGCTGGGCAGTTTGTCAGCGCCCCGATCTGTACATCAAGAACTTGAGGCACTGGCGCAAAAGCGCTCTTGACGCTACAGCCATTGGGGGTTGGAAAAGTAGATCACGTCGCTGTGAGGGTGCAACGGTCGCTGCCCTGATTGCTTGGATGTTGCATTGCGATCTCTTGCCACAGTTTTTTCACACCAGTCCTGCACAGAAAGCTGGTCACCCTGCAAAGCTTCAATGGCTCGCCTCGCCGCGCTGTGCATCCTGGCAGCTGCTGCCTGCTGCCTTCTCCGCTCGTTGGCCTTCGTGTCTGCGCCTGCCGCCCGCAGTGACGCGCTGACCGCGGCCACTGGTGCAGCCGTGCTTGCCAGCATCCCAGCCGGGGCGGATGCCTTCGTCTACAAGGGCATCATGGGCTGCAATTGAGCCAAGCGGACGGTTATTGTCAGACCCTCTAACAGTTCGTAAAGTTAGTGTGGCAGCATGCATGTTGTGCGGTTCAAGCCTAGTGTCTCAATCCCGATTGTGAGGCAAGGAGTACTTCGATGTTTTCTACGGCATTGACCCCTTGGCCTGGGCGTTCTGCGGCTTCAGCATCGTGTACTTCGGTGCAGTCTTGAAGAACGCAGCCCAGAAGTACAACATCTCCCCGGACAAGACGCCACCAAAGGTCGGTGGCTTTGTCGGCAAGGAGGTGGAGAACGGGGAGCCCAGCTACATGGACCCATCCATCAAGCAGGGCCCGTACTGAGCATCTGAAGCGTAACCTGTGCTGGGGAGGCTGATTCTCAAATCATGGGCTTCAGCCTTCATGACAAAAGAAGATCCGATGTTACTACATGTTGTTGTCGCATGCTGCTGTTGCTACTCTTTGCCACGGGAGAGTTGTGCGCCAGGCGCTGCTTTTGGATGTCACGCTTGCATGCAGGTTCGTGTATCCGAACTCTTGTTTCGACAGATCTTGCATGCTAAGCACGCCCAGGTTGCCATGCGTTATGATGCGTGAATGGATCAGCTTTTTTTGTAGTGCCTCACCTGGCCAGCACAAGATCTCCCAACATGGCTCGCCTCACCGCGCTGTGCATCCTGGCAGCTGCTGCCTGCTGCCTTCTCCGCTCGTTGACCTTCGTGTCCGCGCCTGCCGCCCGTAGCGACGCGCTGACCGCGGCCACTGGTGCAGCCGTGCTTGCCAGCATCCCAGCCGGGGCGGATGCCTTCGTCTACAAGGGCATCATGGGCTGCAATTGAGCCAAGCGGACGGCTATTGTCCGACGCTCTAACAGTTAGTATAGTTAGTGTGGCAGCGTGCATGTTGTGCGGTTCCAGTCTCGTGTCTCAATCCCGATTGTGAGGCAAGGAGTACTTCGATGTTTTCTACGGCATTGACCCCTTGGCCTGGGCGTTCTGCGGCTTCAGCATCGTGTACTTCGGTGCAGTCTTGAAGAACGCAGCCCAGAAGTACAACATCTCCCCGGACAAGACGCCACCAAAGGTCGGTGGCTTTGTCGGCAAGGAGGTGGAGAACGGGGAGCCCAGCTACATGGACCCATCCATCAAGCAGGGCCCGTACTGAGCATCTGAAGCGTAACCTGTGCTGGGGAGGCTGATTCTCAAATCATGGGCTTCAGCCTTCATGACAAAAGAAGATCCGATGTTACTACATGTTGTTGTCGCATGCTGCTGTTGCTACTCTTTGCCACGGGAGAGTTGTGCGCCAGGCGCTGCTTTTGGATGTCACGCTTGCATGCAGGTTCGTGTATCCGAACTCTTGTTTCGACAGATCTTGCATGCTAAGCACGCCCAGGTTGCCATGCGTTATGATGCGTGAATGGATCAGCTTTTTTTGTAGTGCCTCACCTGGCCAGCACAAGATCTCCCAACATGGCTCGCCTCACCGCGCTGTGCATCCTGGCAGCTGCTGCCTGCTGCCTTCTCCGCTCGTTGACCTTCGTGTCCGCGCCTGCCGCCCGTAGCGACGCGCTGACCGCGGCCACTGGTGCAGCCGTGCTTGCCAGCATCCCAGCCGGGGCGGATGCCTTCGTCTACAAGGGCATCATGGGCTGCAATTGAGCCAAGCGGACGGCTATTGTCCGACGCTCCAACAGTTAGTACAGTTAGTGTGGCAGCGTGCATGTTGTGCGGTTCCAGTCTCGTGTCTCAATCCCGATTGTGAGGCAAGGAGTACTTCGATGTTTTCTACGGCATTGACCCCTTGGCCTGGGCGTTCTGCGGCTTCAGCATCGTGTACTTCGGTGCAGTCTTGAAGAACGCAGCCCAGAAGTACAACATCTCCCCGGACAAGACGCCACCAAAGGTCGGTGGCTTTGTCGGCAAGGAGGTCGAGAACGGGGAGCCCAGCTACATGGACCCATCCATCAAGCAGGGCCCGTACTGAGCATCTGAAGCGTAACCTGTGCTGGGGAGGCTGATTCTCAAATCATGGGCTTCAGCCATCATGACAAAAGAAGATCCGATGTTACTACATGTTGTTGTCGCATGCTGCTGTTGCTACTCTTTGCCACGGGAGAGTTGTGCGCCAGGCACTGCTTTTCGATGTCACGCTTGCATGCAGGTTCGTGTATCCGAACTCTTGTTTCGACAGATCTTGCATGCTAAGCACGCCCAGGTTGCCATGCGTTATGATGCGTGAATGGATCAGCTTTTTTTGTAGTGCCTCACCTGGCCAGCACAAGATCTCCCAACATGGCTCGCCTCACCGCGCTGTGCATCCTGGCAGCTGCTGCCTGCTGCCTTCTCCGCTCGTTGACCTTCGTGTCCGCGCCTGCCGCCCGTAGCGACGCGCTGACCGCGGCCACTGGTGCAGCCGTGCTTGCCAGCATCCCAGCCGGGGCGGATGCCTTCGTCTACAAGGGCATCATGGGCTGCAATTGAGCCAAGCGGACGGTTATTGTCCGACGCTCTAACAGTTAGTAAAGTTAGTGTGGCAGCATGCATGTTGTGCGGTTCAAGCCTAGTGTCTCAATCCCGACTGTGAGGCAAGGAGTACTTCGATGTTTTCTACGGCATTGACCCCTTGGCCTGGGCGTTCTGCGGCTTCAGCATCGTGTACTTTGGTGCAGTCTTGAAGAACGCAGCCCAGAAGTACAACATCTCCCCGGACAAGACGCCACCAAAGGTCGGTGGCTTTGTCGGCAAGGAGGTCGAGAACGGGGAGCCCAGCTACATGGACCCATCCATCAAGCAGGGCCCGTACTGAGCATCTTGAGATGCCGCTAGCTGAGGATGTTTGTTGAGCTGTTGCTGTTCATGCAGCGTGAACATATCAGAAGCAGCTTCAGAAGAACAGGCCGTTGCATGCTCTGATCCGCATCGACCATAGAGTGTCATGTGCAAAATGTAGCAGCAGCATGAGAAGTGTGTGTTGCGCAGCAGTGTTTTGAAACGCCTCGTCCGACCACCACCGGCAGATCACCCAACATGGCTCGCCTCGCCGCGCTGTGCATCCTGGCAGCTGCTGCCTGCTGCCTTCTCCGCTCGTTGACCTTCGTGTCCGCGCCTGCCGCCCGTAGCGACGCGCTGACCGCGGCCACTGGTGCAGCCGTGCTTGCCAGCATCCCAGCCGGGGCGGATGCCTTCGTCTACAAGGGCATCATGGGCTGCAATTGAGCCAAGCGGACGGTTATTGTCAGACCCTCTAACAGTTAGTAAAGTTAGTGTGGCAGCATGCATGTTGTGCGGTTCAAGCCTAGTGTCTCAATCCCGACTGTGAGGCAAGGAGTACTTCGATGTTTTCTACGGCATTGACCCCTTGGCCTGGGCGTTCTGCGGCTTCAGCATCGTGTACTTCGGTGCAGTCTTGAAGAACGCAGCCCAGAAGTACAACATCTCCCCGGACAAGACGCCACCAAAGGTCGGTGGCTTTGTCGGCAAGGAGGTCGAGAACGGGGAGCCCAGCTACATGGACCCATCCATCAAGCAGGGCCCGTACTGAGCATCGTAGGTGTCGTGTTGTTGATGGGATGATGCGTGCTCAGCAGTCATGGCAAATAGTCAGAGTGACGGTTCCTATGAGTTTGTTGGTTTATGAGCCCAATGACAGCGCGGAGCAGTTTTTATTTGCGTACAGCAAACATGAGAAACTTGCAAATTGCAAGCTTCACTCGGTACTCAGATCTTGCTCTGGTCATGGGCAAAACAAACTTTAAGCGAGCCAGCTCGCACTGTCACCGGGTGCAGTGTGTGTGTGGATGGATGTCATAGAGGAGGTTCCAAACACTTCCGCCAATGTGCTGTTCATCTAGGTGAAGTTCCGATGTCGAGTCTTTCAGGAAGCTGATTTCACAGTTGCCCCAGATGCATCCTTGGTAGCTTTACCAGTGGAAGTGATCTCCTCTGAACATGGAGAGGAGATGAAGGTTTTCAAGCAGAGAGTAGTTTTTGATTTAGGGAGATGCTTTGTCCACGTTTTAAGAGGACACGCTTCATGTCTCCTATGTGTTAGCTTAGTAGACAAGCCAATATGCTATATTTTCAAAATATTATAAACACCATCTTTTTTCTGCATGTTAGTAGGACACCCTCTCCCTGTCTTTTCAACATGTTAATAAGTTAACTTCAGCTAACCTTTCTCTTTCTCGCAGGAAATCCCTCGTGCATCATGAACACTTCGATCTCCTCTACGTGTTAGGACTACATCGCTATTATTTTCAACACAGGGCTAAAGAAAGGAGCAGAAGCAAAAACAAGGGAGCGAAAAAAACTCCAACCGTTGTATACCTTGTTCAACAAAGCCGCACACGTACACCCTAAGCCCTAAAAGGCCCCAAGCCCCAAGAACCCCAAAGCCGAGGTTCTGTTACTTAACAGAAGCCCGACTGAGCTTGAGGACCTGAAGCCTGGAAACTTCCTTCTCATCAGTGGACGCCTCAAGGCAGCTGTTCCCATTCAAATGGCTTCACGCTTCAGGCACTATTTATTTTTATTTTTATTTTTTTTGTGTTGGTGTTTTTTTCCTCTAGGGTTCTTTTTTTTCAAATAATGTGTGTTGATTACGGGGGTCTTACGGAAGTAAAGGAGGGGCATAAATGCACAAAAGAGGGCCCGGCAAGCTCGGTCTGGCATGGGAAGGTTCCTCATGCCGTGCTATTTTCCCTCGAAATCCTTCTACTGAGGCTCCTAAGTCCCAAGGTCCTGAGTCCACGGATTCTTGGCTTCAGCGCTTGCATCCCACCAGCAGTTGTTGCGTCGCTCCATGCGCCACGTCGCGCGCTGTGGCCTCCGATGGCCCCCCTTTCTCAAGTTGCGTCCAAGGCTGAAGCCTAAATTCTGTTCTACCTTGGTCGGCTACTCCTGTTTGTGTGTGTCAGTGTGCGCGTGCGCGTGTGTGCGTGCGCGCGCGCGCGCGCGCGCGCGGGTGGGTGTGTGTGTGTGTGTGTGTGTGTGTGTGTGTGTGTGTGTGTGTGTGTGTGTGGTGTGTGTTGTGTGTGTGTGTTGTGTGTGTGTGTGTGTGGTGTGTTGTGTGTGTGTGTGGTGTGTTGTGTGTGTGTGTTGTGTGTGTGTGTGTGT